GTACATTACACGCCCCGAGAGAGGGCGGATAGGTCCCGCGAACCAGTTTTGTTATCCAAGCCGAAGCCAGGTAATGGCCCCTGTAATCAATGTCTGTAACTATTTCTTAGGGATGCTGGACAGGTGCAGCCCCCCTCCAACAGATCGGGGCGACGAGCGGCAAACCCACTACGGGAGGATGCTCGTATCACCCCTGCTAGTAGGCTGAGACTGGTCATTATAAAAAAAAAAAAGAAAAACAGAGAGGGATCTGCCAAAATACAACTAAGAGAAAAGAAAAAGAAAGAAATTAGAGAATTTTTTGAGACCATCGTATAAAAGACGTTGTCAGTCTAACAACCCTTTCATAGCCAGTTATCAATCCGTCAGTACAATCATCAAAAACACTTCACCGACAGGGAAGAAGAATAGTGAAACAAGTGGCCATAGACTCTTCTTCTCGCACATGCTTCAACCGAAAAGCAATACGATTCCGCGTGCATGCCCAATTCTCAGTAGAAACGCGCATATTCCCCGACGCGTTTCGGCAAGGTTGCGCTCCTGACACCCTTCAGGGGGCTTCTCCCAAGATCCCCTTGCGGCACCACCACCTTTCCCAACCTATCACGAGTTGCACTAGTCGTCTACCTACCAGCTTAGTCACACACACACACACACACACACACACACACACACACACACACACACACACAGTCCTACGTCTGCCGCGTCATTCGCTCGCGTAGCGGCAACACAAACCCCAGTAAAATTCAAATTCAAATTCAAATTCAAATTTGAACCAAATTTGAACCGCTCTCTGTAACAGATTCCACCGATCCCGGCAATAAATGAGCGCAGGTTCTAACAGGTAGCCCATTACCAGGACTTTCCTCGGCGGGTGGAACGGGAAATCCAAGGGTGCTACCGATTATCAATAGATCCTAGACGGCCGAACACGATTGCCGACAACCACAATTTTAGGAAACGTACAGGCTATACTACAGGAGCACCCAAGTTCATCCGACTAGAAACGTTTCTTCTCTATTTTTTTCCCCGGCCGATAGCTGGGCCAAACCGGCCAAGTACTGGTAATATCGTCGCGGGGTAACCATTGCTGTTCACAGCCTGGCAACTAAGTTCCGACCGGGGAAGCATTTATTATTAAATCCAAAAACAAAAGCGATTCAGACCTTGCACATGTGACTAGCACTTCTTCTACGCATTTCCCCGTACTTTCTATAACTACTTTTCCCTCCAGTGCTTCTTCAGATTGCATAAATTCCATAATAATCGAAAAGGCATGCTGCGAAGTTGAAAGTATCAATATTTCAGCGAAGACGACGACGACGAAGAAGAAGAAGAAGAAGAAGAAGAAGAAGATCGTAGACGGAAGAAGAAGAAGAAGAATATAGAGGAAGAAAGAAAGAAAGAAAGAAAGGAGGAGAGAGAGGAGGAACTAAGAGGAGAATGACATCACACGGGAGGAAGTAGGACACAGGCGACAAAAAGTAATCATGATAAATATTAACTTCCCGAAGGCGAGTGGCGCATAATCATAACACCTTGAAAGTGCCAAGCCGATCTACCGTGGCATGATCCGGCCGGTTTCGACTGGCCTCTTGTCACTCCAGTCCTCTTCAGGGATCTTGTCATTCTTTGGTAAAGCCCAAGGACACATACAAGTCTACTGCTGTACGTAGGCCAAGAACAGGTTCACAACACTCCATCTGTATCTCGGCTCCAATTATCGCTGAGTTCATCGATACTTTTTCAGGAAAAAAAACAAAAACTCCCCACTCCGTTTCTTTCTGCATTTACTGTCCTAAAAACACACACCACTCACTGCTCCTCAGCCGCTCGAGACCTTCGAAGATCCCACTTCCCTACCATCATACCATACATCAAACCTCATCCGTACGCCACTTATCTGACGTGCTTTCCAAAAGTACGCCACTTACCTGACTCGCTTTCCAAAAGTACGCCACTTATCTGACGCGCTTTCCAAAAGTAACCGCAACATCTTCAGCCTCCAAAAGAAAGGTACACTGTTCAAACCCCGACTCCTCTCGCATTGTGCAGAGACCTTGTTCCCAACCAAAACCTAGGTCCAAAGTTCGACCCTCCCAGCAAAAAAACCTAGGTCCAAAGTTCGAACCTGAGTTCCGCCAGAACGACCTTTCAGATCCCTAAGGTCCCTAACCCACGAATTCAGCTTGCACTGGAATCCTGAAACGGTATTCACCAGTTCGAAGTAGCTGATGCAGGACCCAGGGTTCGATCCCTAGTTCCCCAACTTACCTGTGAACAATATCTGTGACAACTTGAAGAATTGAACCTGCGACCTGTAGGACCGCCAGTGGTAAGTAGGTCTGTCGTAGGTCTTTAGGTAGCCAGGATTTGATCCATAGACCTGTAGAGTAGAAGTCCAGCTGCAGTCCTTCTAGAAGGTTGGCAAGTGGTCAAGTGGTGTGACTAAAGCAAGCCCATGTTGGAGACGAGGACAAGTGGCAAGGGCAAATAGTAGGACCCCAGTGCAACTGCACTGCGTCGTAGGGTTGTCACTATGCAGTCATGGGAAAGTCTAGAAAGTACCAGTCCGGTCCAGCAAGTACCACGGGGGGGACTGTGTGCATCATGGGCCAGGGATACAAGGCAGACCAATGCAACACAGAAGTATAAATCAAGAGGCTGCATCCAGCCATTCATTCATTCCTGCGGAAGCTCTGCGGAAGCGCTGCTCGGGCGTCTTGTGCAAGGGAGGTCTGCAGATGGCCTGAAGACGAAGTGGGCAGAAGTTAGTGATAGGCTAGTTAGCTGTTAGTGGCCATGCGCCATAGCCATAGACAGTTAGTGAGTGTGTATGTGTGTGTGCRRTGGTTGGCGTGCATGGTATCCAGGGTGATCCGGAGTCGAGTTGCGTGTGAACTCTGAGTCGAACGTGTAAGTGAGGGCGCCCAGCGCCATAGCCAGCTGAAGTGAACTTGGATTTGAGTTGAGTTGCAAGCTACCATATCTCCGAGTTTGAGTTGGGTGCACAGCGCCAAGTTATTCTCATCTGTTGCATGCATGTTTGAGTGTGAATTTGCAAGACTGATTTCAATCCGATAAATACCCAACCTTTTCTTTTAATTTTTTTTCCTGCTTTTTTTTTCTTAGGGTGAAAAGGGGAAAACAAATGGGCCTTTAAAAACCTAGGTTACCACCCAGGCCGCCCGGGTCACCCTATTTTCCCGGGCGGCCTGGCCGTGCAAGGACCAGGGAAGGTCCCAGCGAAAAAAAACAAATAAAATAATCCAAAATTTTTAAAAATCCAAAAAAAAACTATGTTGTGCAGAAAAACTGGACAACTTTTGCCTCAGGCGTCGAAATTCTATACCAAATGTACAAGTAAAAAATAATGAAAATTACAATTCAAATTTCAAAAATATTTTTTGTTCTTTTTTTCTTTTCTTTTTCTTTTTGGTCCGGTCAGGCAAGTGGTCCCGGGTCACTATGGTAATCTAGCACGTGGCCATAATAACTCTGGGCCATGGAAAGCTTGATCCTGCCACCATTTGACCCCTTCACCATCGACCCCTTTTACGAAGGAAACAAAGTACACGCGTAGCCGATATGAATCAACAGAGCACATGTAATTGTCAGTATACTGGTCATGGGTTCGAAATTCGAATGTAATGACTCAGATTAGGACAATCAAATAGAAGGGGCTACCCCACTTGTTGTCACTTACAAAGGCAAAGGCAAAACGATGGGCTTGCAACACATATAAAGTACATTGGGGCTCTACCCTTCTGGGACAAGATCTATTTGGTTCGTCATGTTCTTTTTCTCTTCTTTGTGGGGGGGGAGGGCAAGTACATTGGAATTCTCGCTTTTGGGGCCATGACCCACACTATGCTTGCGGTTTCGGCCAACTTCGCGGCACTTTGTAAGAGTCATGTCTGTGTGTGTGCACTGTGCATTTGTGAGAGTTATGTCTGTGTGTATGCACTGTGCATTTGTGAGAGTTATGTCTGTGTGTGTGCACTCTGCATGTCAAGTACATACTGGGTTCTCTCTTTCAACTTTCAAGGGCCCAGCTTGTGTCTCGATAACAGGTAAAGCAGTAATCTGCCTGCACCAGCTTGGTCAGACATTTGGGCAGGCAGCTCTTTAGGAGGAGTCTTTCTTTCTAGATTGGGGTAGGGCAGGGGGCGGGGGGCCGGGGGGGGTCCCGCAGATCGGACAAGACAGAACAGAAGAGACGGACGATCGCACCCAGCCACCTGCCTGAAGAGAGAATCGGCCTCGCTCCACTACTCACCGAAAGGCAGGTGGCTGGGTGTGATCGTCCGTCTCTTCACATGTTCTGTGAGCGTCCGTCTCAATCCTGTCTCTTATACACATCTAGATGTGTATAAGAGACAGCTTCACATGTTCTGTGAGCGTCCGTCTCAATCTGCCAGAAGAGACGGACGATCACACCCAGCCACCTGCCTTTCGGTGAGTAGTGGAGCGAGGCCGATTCTCTCTTCAGGCAGGTGGCTGGGTGCGATCGTCCGTCTCTTCTGTTCTGTCTTGTCCGATCTCTTCACATGTTCTGTGAGCGTCCGTCTCAATCTGCCAGAAGAGACGGAAGAATCTCCCCAGAAGAGATGGAGATTCTTCCAATAGAACATGTGAAGTTACACCGCCATCTGTTTTGTCTTTGTCTCCATGTGGTGCGCAGTGCAGCATGGCCAATGTTTTGCTTGTATACATCAGCATCGACACACTACCAACATGTGCGCCAAACGCACTTGCACACACACAAACACCATGGCAGCTCACAGGAAAAAAAAAACACAATTCCTCTCGACTGCGCCGCAAATCCACGAAAAGGAGAAAAGTTGCGCTCCGTTGTGCTCCACTGCCAGCAATCAGGTTCTCGGTTCGTCGAATTGTCCGCAAGAATTGAAGGTGAATTTTTTTTTATTTTTTTTATTTTTATTTTTTCTTTTGGAGAAGGTGAAATTTCAAATTCCTGTGAAGATGCAAAAAGACGTTTCTTTACCATATCTTTATGTCATCGTGCCGCAAATCTGTTACACTCGAAGATCCCTAACCGTATGAAGTACTATGAAGTAGTATCTATGACCCACCTCAGTCCTCCATCATGTCAGCTCCTACCTCCTACTTGCCTGCGCAGGCCAACGCACCGACAGAAAAAAAATTATATATCCCCGTACACGACAGCATGCCAACAGAAAGTGCCCAACTTGAATGCCCCACCCTTCTCAGTATTCTCCCTTCCGTTCTATCGCTCCCCTTTCTCCCCTCCCTCCACGCACTCCCCTCGCTATCCTGCCTGCCATGTAAGCCACAAAGACAGCTGACCTGTCCCGTCCGCAATACATATTACATACCCAGACAGTGCTCTTGGAACAATCCCCCTTCGTCGATAAGTCACTCACTCACTCACTCTTAACCTACCACCACTCAGGGCATACTCACACTTGAAACTTCCTAAATGTATCGGACCGGCAGCAAGCAATTACGGCCAGACCTGGGTGGATCTGACTGCAATCATGTCCACAGCTTCGTCGAACAAGTCCTAGTGTGAGTTGCGTCCTCGGAAGTGCACCAAACCTTTTTTTTCTCAAGTACAGTTGAAGTATGAGATTAACTGTTCTTCAGTCACTTGTGGCCTCTGTGAAAAGTCGAAACCTTGTTAGCTCCCGCAAAAGCCCTACTCACCAACAGCAGGTATTCGTCATCCCGCCGCGAGGTCCCTGAGTTCTATCTACCAACAGATAATCATTACCGGCGCCCACGACCACCTCCCCTACCTCCTCTTGCCCTCGATTCTCCACCACGACCACCTCCGCGCTCTCGCCCGAACTGTGAGCGATCATCACGGTCACGACCACCACCTCCTCTTCTCCCACCCGACTCGTTGCCATCCCCACCATACCACCTGCTTCCGCTGTCACTTCGGCCTCCTCTACCCCCATTACTCCTCCTCTCGTATCCGTTGCCGCCACCCCCCCTTCCTCCGTAGTCCCTACCCCTTTCACTTTGGCCTCCTCGGCCACCTTGTGGAGGGCGGTAAGTTCTCTCCGCGACACCATCATCATCGATGTCACGCCCCCTTCCGGCATATTCTTCGCCCCTCTCACTTCTGCTCCCATTCACTCCGCGCTGCGCATCAAACATTCTCTGCTCGACGTTATCGTCACCCTCGTTGCTGCTCTCCAAAGACCCATCTGGAGAGCTGAAATCAGGCGTCCATTCTTCGAACTTCTTCGCCCTCGGCTCACCAGTGCGTTCTCCTCGACCCCCCTCGGAAAACGAGTCCTGTTGCCTACCACGGCTGCTCATCTCGCCATAGCTGCCACCACGGTCACCCCGTCCACCAAATTCACGGTCGTGGCCACGACGATCACCCCTTCCCCCCCGTTCGCCTCCCTCACCACGGCTAAACCTCCCACCTCGGCGGTCATTACCCCCCCCATACCTATCGTCCCTCTCCCTCCCGTATCCGTCACTGTAACCCCCTCTTCCAGAAGATCGTCTGTCATCCCCGTATGACCCTCGGCTGGAACCCCCCCCATCCTCTTTCTCTACTCCACATCCTCGGCATTCGTCGTTTCTTGCAAAATTGATGTAATTGCATCTGCACGATCCAGACATGAAACAGATCCCAACATGTGGCTAGATTAGCATTGCGCACAAAACGGAAGACAGCCCACGAGTGGAATCGCACTCAAGTCAAAAACAACTACACATTGTACACAACCATTTTTTTTCCTCCACTCTTTTGGCAGTATGCTGCATCCAATCCAAGCCACACAAACTGCCAGCAAAAAAAAAAAAAAAAAAAAAAAAAAAAAACCAAAGACACCGGCCAAATTGCAAGAGGCTGTCATTAAAAAGCAACTTGATTCCCTGTCCATTCTGTTCCAATAACCTGGTCATGGCCTCACACACACACACACACACACACACAATTCTGAATTTTGTGACGTGTCCCATTTCTCCTGAGCAGCAAGCCACACAACACAGTAGAGGGAGGGGAAGTTCGACTAATGAGAATAGGAGGAAGTTTGTGGTGCTTCCTATCCAACCCCCCTCCTTTTCCCCATAGCTAAGGGTCATCTCCCTATATCCAAGTGGCTAAGGGACAGCTTGCTATAGCCAAGCAGCTATGGGACAGCTTCCTTAGCAGCAAGCTCCCCACCTTTGCAATTTCCGACTTCATACAATCGATCACCTTGTCATTTCCACGTGCAATTCTGTGCTTTAGCTCATTCTTCGGAGGAGCAAGACGCAAGACACAGCACATAATACACAGGGGAAGCACACATAAAGTGTTAAAAACCGCAAAATGCATAGAGCCTCTCGAGGAGCGGACACTTCACGTCTGCACATTGTGTCGAGCATGTCTTGCTGCACTTCTGGCCTGCCCCTGTGAAATTGTTTTGGGCCGTCTGCATGGTACTACAAGCAGCAATGGACCATAAAAGAGTATCACAAGAAAAGACTCCACTTGAAAGGATAAAATTTCATAAAAATCCACGCACTCTCACTCCTAGGCCAAAAAAAGGATCTTGGCCGAGGAGCGGCAAAATTCAATCAGGTAATTGGCTAATCATGCTTAGAAGTCAAGTGCTGCCAGCGTGGACTTAGCTCTAATCAGCGTCATTGAATCAAACTCACGATAAAGACCTTTCTGTACTTAGTTAGCTATGGGAAGGTGTCATAGCTAAGTAGCTACGGCTTGTCTATGACGGCTGTACGCCCTGTCTATGACACCTTCCTAGAGCTAAGTAGCTACGGGACAGCTGTGGCAAATGTCCCTTAGCCTTAGGAAGCTATAGGAGCTTGCATGAGGAAGGGGAAACAAGAGTTCGCAAAACGGTGTCCCCTAGTCCCTTAGCTATAGGAACCCTTAGCGCTATACGAAGCTGTCCCATAGCTACTTAGATATGGGAAGCTGTCCCTATAGGAACCCTTAGCTATAGGAAGGTATAGGAAGCTGTCCCATAGCTACTTAACTATGGGACAGCTGTCCCTATAGGAACCCTTAGCTATAGGCAGCTGTCCCTATAGGAACCCTTAGCTATAGGCAGCTGTCCCATATCTCCTTAGCTATGGGAAGCTGTCACTATAGGGACCGTTAGCTATGGGAAACGGTTCCTATAGGAACCCTTAGCTCTAGAAAGCTGTGCCTTAGCCACTTGTAGAAATATACGGAGATGTCCCTTAGCTATAGGAAAGCTGTCCCATAGCTATGGGAAAGCTGTCTCTTCGCTATGACAAATCTTGGTCCCTTAGCTATGAGAAAGCTCAGTCCCTTGCTGAAGAAAAGATGTCCCTTAGCAGGAGAGGAAAACCCGTCCTGTTCGCCTTCTTCCACAATGTTCCCTTGGTTGTCTCTTAGCTATGACAAAGCTGGGTCCCTTGGAAAACCCGTCCTGTTCGCCTTCTTCCACCATGTTTCAGATTACTAATTATTTAACTGAACAGTGAACTATTTGACTGAAGTATTTGTTTAACTATTTGACTGTTTATTTCAATTTAATTTGACTATTATTTAACTGTTTATTTAACAATTTCACGCTGAACCTTAGCAGGAGAGGAAATTTTACAGGACAGAAAGGAGAGCATGGGGTCGATCAAAAAAACAGAGCCCAAGCTATCAGCATGCTGTCAAAACAACACATTGGGTGAGGAGAGTTTTCGGTTCGGTTCTTACGAGGGGCATTTCCAGTCGCCTGGCTTCATTTCAACCCGCTGGCCTGCGACATAGACTGGCGAGGCCTCCTTCTTGTCAGTGTTGCAATTGCGGCACTCGCTGTTCCGTGCAAAATTGACAAAATGGCATCTGCAAAGCCACAAAAGCCCAGACAGAGAAGCACAACACCCAGTCCGACCGTTCGGCAAATAAGCGACATCTGGCAAAACTACCCTCTTCCCCTCAATAGAACCCACAGTCATTACAGCAGTCGCAGGTCACAATGAGTCGCTCACATGGGGCGGCATCTTTTTATAAAACGGTGGTACATTACAGCGCGATAATGACACGGTGCGTTCTGTTCGGGTGATGACGGTTGGGTGAAAATTGTTGAGCAGGTCGCAATGAGTCGCTCACGGGGAACCCCTCGCTGAATGCGAGAGGGAGTACGGAAAAGGGAACATCTGCCGAGAGGGGAAGAATGATGTGTTAAGATGCAAAGATATAACGGCGGGG